GGTGGCCCCCTGTGGCTGGTGGGGGGACACTGGTGAGCGGGCCCCGTCCAGGTGGCCCCCTGTGGCTGGTGGGGGACACATGGTGAGCGGGCCCCGTCCAGGTGGCCCCCTGTGGCTGATGGGGGACACATGGTGAGTGGGCCCTGTCCAGGTGGCCCCCTGTGGCTGGTGGGGGGACACTGGTGAGCGGGCCCCGTCCAGGTGAGGGGGTCCAAGGGCTGTGTCCCTGGCCAGGCAGGGTGTGGACTGTTGGTGCCGGGGCTCGCCTGGTGTCTCGGGGCGTCTGCATGGAGCCTGTAGCCCACGCCTCTGGCCAGGCTCTAAAGTGAAGCTGTGGCGCCTCCGTCACCGGGCCCCTGGCATGCCTCAGGTTTGTTTCCTGTTTCTTTCCTCGGGCAGTTTCTTTCGGGAAACAATTGAGAGGAGGGAGTGCCATTTGTGAGTTATGTGTAGGTCTCTGGTGGACACTGTGATCCAAGGGCAGGTTATTAACTCCCTGTTTTCTGGCTTGTTCTCAAGCAGAGTCCTCGCTTGCCTTGGTTCCACGTGACTCACAGCCTGGGGTCTCTGTCGGACGTTGGGGAGGAGAGCCAGACGGCCGCCTCCGGCCTGTGTTTACCACTTAGAGTCAGAATCGCTTTTGGTTCTGCGCTGCCTGAAGCTGCCCTGAGCCGTTAGCGCTGCATTCTGAAGCCGAGCCTGTCTGGGTGTCCTTACGCACGCCGCACACTTGGTCAGCACGGTGGCCGTGGCCTGGCGCCATCCGAGAGGTGGGGGTGGCCATGCGTCCCTGCACGTCAGCCTCTGCTCAAGCAGGCGCAGCCACCCCAGGTGGGGCGAGGCCCCGAGGAGGACCCCAAGGCCTCCCTCTCTAGGAGCCAGCCTGTCTCAGAGGCGGCCACGACCTCTCGTCTCCTTGGCTGCGTCTGGTCACGGCGCCTGCGGGTCGGGCCTGGGATCTCACGGGGGCTTCCAGGCGGTCCCTGGGGAGGGATCGAGTGAGTGAAAATCAGAGGAGAGGAGCGCCAGGCTGTTCTTGGGTTTCCTCTTCCATCTGACGCGGGGTCTTGACCACAGCCGGACGGGGCCTGCATCGGTAACTGAAGCCGCCCCGGGAGGCTGCGGGGCTCCCGCCCTCTTGCCCGCCACCTGCCTCCCTGCCTTTGCCCCCACCCTGACTGGCCCGCCGTCCCGAGCCTTGGGTGTTGGGGCGCAGCGGGCTGGGCTCTTGTTACCCCCCAGGGCTCGGATCCCTGACGGAGGGGAGATCAGAGCATGAGCAGCAGACAGCATGTGACCGTGCAGTGTCAGGGGGTGGGGTTCCCCTGAGCCCACCAGAGGCCCGCTGTTTCCCAGGAGGGGGCACAGCCTTTAGACAGAAACACCCAGAAACACGCTCTTCTCTTGTGAGGAGCTCTCAGAGCTGTGGTTCCTGTGTGTGTGTGTGCGTGCGTGCGTGTGCACTCCCACGTGTTCGGTGTGTCTGTGTGTTCACGTGTTGTGTGTCTACACTCACGTGTGTTCTGTGTATGTCTGTGTGCCCACATGTATGTTGTATGTGTGCCTGCACATGTGTTCCTTGTCTGCACTCACACATGTTCTGTCTCTGTGCACTCACGTGTTGTGTGTGTGTGCATATGCACTCCTGCGTGCTCTGTGCACTCATGCGTGTTCTGTGTCTGCAGTCATGTGTGTTGTGTGTCTGTGCACTCGTGTGTTCTGTGTGTCTGCACTCATGCATGTTCTCTGGGTGTACACTCACGTGTTTGTGCCTGTGCACCCACGCGTGTTCTGTGTGTCTGTGTGCGCTCATGTGTGTTATGTGTGTGTTTCTGTGCGCTCATGTGTGTTCTGTGCATGTTTGTGTGCGCCTATGCATGTTCTGTGCGTGTCTGTGCACTCATGCATGTTCTCTGTGTGCATTCACGTGTGTTCTGTGTGTATCTATGTGCACCCATGCGTGTTCTGTGTGTCTGTGCACTTATGCGTGTTCCATGTGTCTGTGTACACATGTGTGTTCTCTGTGTACTCAGATGTGTTCTGTGTGTCTGTGCACTCGCTTGTTCTGTCTGTGCACTCATGCATGTTCTGTGTGTACTTATGTGTGTTCTGTGTGTACTCATATGTGTTCTGTGTAGTCATGCGAGTTCTGTGTGTATCTGTGTGCACTCGTGCGTGTTGTGTGTGTCTGTGTGTACTCATGTGTGTTCTGTGTCTGTGTGCACTCATGTGTTTTCTGTGTGTGTGTGTGTGCCTGCACGTGTGCATCTGACTACTTTGCCAGGATCTCCAGCCATTCCTCCTGGTTTGCTGTTTCTCTGTGCTGGTGCCTCTTAGTAGCCGAGTATCACCTTGTTTTCTGGGCTGTGCGAGTGTCAGATCTAACGAAAATATGCAGGAGGTGGTGTCTTTGCCCAGATTGTTGGGACCGAGGTCCCATCGAGTGGGAGGTGGCCCTGGTCCTGGTTGAAAGGAGCCACATCCCTCCAGCTTCCAGAGTCTTCCTCTCTCTTTCTTCAGAGTTCTCTAAGCCTGGGTGTTTCCCGAGAGGACCTTCCCCCCACCGGAGCCGCCGGCAGTGTGGGAGGTGATGGTGGGGCCTGGGGACGGCCCTGGTTGGTGGGGCAGCCAGAGGGTTGCACCTGCACCCAGGCGGCTTTTAACCCGAGGCTGCACAGCCCCTCCACCCCGTGCGACGCTTGTAGGCGTCTGCTGGTTTCAGCTCACGCCTGGTGTTGCAGGAATGCTGGGGACAGGGTGCTTTTGATGCTTCCGGAAGGGAGGGCTGTGTCCCATGGGAAAGCCTTGCAGAGGTGCCGTAAGCAGGACCCACCTGCCTCTCCAAGTGGATCGTGCCCCTCTGAGCCGCTTGGCTCTGGGGCAGCCAGATGCCGGGCGCACGTGGATGTCACTCGTGTGTGTGGCATGAGGACACGCCGCACGCCCCTCCCTGCGTTGGAGCCCCTGTCCGTGGACCTGGGACGCTGCTGCCCCAACCAGAGCAGAAACCATGTGAGCCTTCTGTAAAGGGCTTTTTTTGTGGTGGAGGAAGCGGGTGGGGGGGTACAAGGGGTGTGAGCGACAGGAAAAGGACTGAGTGTGCTCACGTGAGAGGTTGACATGGAGGGTGGAAGTTGGGGGTAGCCTCTGGGCATCTGGTCCTCCCAGGCGGCGGCAGTGTGACCCCACGGGCCTGCATGGCAGGCTCTTGAAGGGACCAGGTGCCCAGGAGTGTCCGCTTTCTCACCCTCTCTCCGGGTGATCTCTCACTCTTGGAGACCCAGGACAGGACAGACGGGTCAGTCCTCCCAGAGGAGACTCTGGAGGGAGAGGCACCACAGGATGCACACAGCCATCGGCGGGGGTGGTGTGGTTCTCATCCTTTAAGTGTTTCCTCTCTTGCCACGGAACGGGTTTCTGTTTCGCCGGAAACGTGCTGTGTGGGAGCTGTCGGCCTGAGCGTCTCGGTTTTTTCCTGGCCTGAGCACAGCTCTCTCCTCAGCCATGCCGCAGGGGTCTGCTGGCCTGGATCGCCAGGTTGCTGGATTTCAGATTCCAGCATTGATCCTGGCTGCAAAGCCTGGAGGGCAGAGGGCAAGGGCCAGGGGTCATTAGTTAACCGTTATGGTCGTGCAACCTAAAAACGCTGCATCCCGCACTTAACTACTTCAGAGAGAACCCGGCACTGCGGAGGTGGCATTATGGGGCACTGCGGGGTCCTGCTGGTTGATGCGCCATGAAGTCACAGATGAGACTCCATTCTGCAGGAGGTGCCCTGACGGCTCCAGGGAGGATTGTGCCCCCCCCCACGGCCAGCGCCTCGGTGCAGGCCCCCGTGTGACCCACGTCTGGTGTCGGCGCTGGCAGGCTGGGCAGACTGCCCATGCCTGATGGCAGCAAGGGGCGATGGCTGCTGACGTTGGCCTGGCCGACCCTTGGGAATGCGTTTGGCTCTGAGCCTCAGTGGTCACTCTGTGTTCCTCCCTCGGGAGCCGTTCTGGGCAGGATGGTGGTAAAATCCCAAACGCAAGTCGGGAGGAGGAAGGGGTGGGGGAGGAACGGGCCAGCACACTCCAGGGAGAGGAGATTGTGCAGGAGGTAGGGGTGGCTGAGGGGGCCTGTAACCGGAGAAGGAGGAGGACATGGTGCTCTCGGGCTGGAGCCACTCAGGGACGCCGTCCTCGGCAGGAACTGGGGCTCTGACCAAGTGTCCGTGGCAGACCACTGGGGTCTGGGCTCCCAGGCCACAGCAGGACCGTGGGTCTGCTGGGCTCCACTTTGGCTCCGAGCCCGGGCAACGTCGGCTGAGTCCTGCTGCCCCCGCCTGCTTCCCTGGACCGAGGCCATCACCTCCCACCCCGCAGAAGATCCTGCTGCGTTTGCTCGATAATGACAAGGGCGCGCACGCTTTTTTCAGGGACACGGAGCCCGAGTGCCCCGAGCTTGCCTTCTTCCCTCCCTGGAGCCACGAGTGTGACTGCATTCAGGCTTGGCCCTGGGAGCAGGCTGCTTTCTGCCGGGATGGCGCCGGCCCTGGTCACCAGGGAATGATTACTGATGTTGGGGTTAAGCTTGCGTTTCCGGAGCCAGAAGCACGGGCATCAAAACTGATGCAGCGGAACTGATCAAAGTGAAGAGAGACCAGCGGCTGCCTCCAGGGTGTGGGGGCTCCCTGGGCTGGTGGGGTGTCTGGATCTTGATGGGCTCAGTTACACACGGT